TTTACTGTGACGTTTGTTGAACTGTCTTCAGTTTCTTTGTTCGGTGTCATTTCAGCTTTAAGTACAGGAATATTCATGTTGTTAACTTTCAGCATGAAGGCAACATGGTAGCAACTTGGGACTTTGCTCACACAATGCTGATTTATGGACACCTATGCACACCAGTTTTTTTGTGTCCCTACAAATAGAATAGAATAGAATAGAATAGAATAGAATAGAATAGAATAGAATGGAATACTTTGTTATTGATCCCCATTGGGGGAAATTTACACGCCACACCAGCATCCAAAAATATAGAAAGTACAAAAAAATAACAATACTTAAGTAATACGCATCCTGGTGTCCGCACACAGCAGGTCCAAGGCCCCACTGTCTCTGGTTGGACAGTCCACATACTGGCTGAATGTGGGGAGAGTGGTGGAGAGCGATGTATGATTAAAGTCTCCTGAGATGACGCTCAGAGACAGAGGGTGTGATGTCTGCAGTTGGGACACTGAACTACAGATGAGTTCACAGGCTGCAGCAGCATCAGCCGAGGGGGAATGTCCACATCGCCATTTTTGACATGTCAAAATAGCAAAGAAAAGGAACCTTGGCTTGCCATACTTGCAACATATCAAATTCTACTGGAGTTAGAGGCTTTAATAAATGTTACAATGTTGACCAAGGTTGATATTTTTAGTTGGAAATATGGATACATCCATATATATACACTTTACGGTGCCCCAATACTTTTGAAGATTTAGCACCTTTTCCCATTTTCAAGGGTAAATAATTAAAATTTGGCCTCTGCTAGGTTCCTTTGATCATTTAGACCTGCTGGAAATAGTTTTGACTGTGTCTTCACCACATTTCGTAGCTGTGGGAGCTGAATGTCTGTAGGTATTGCTGAAGTTACAAAAAAATCCCCCGGTTTCAGCCATTATTTTTTATTTGTACCTTTTTTTTTTTTTACAGAGGTTAGTTTTGGGTCGCAAAAAACAAACAAGTACACTCTGAACAGCAACAGCGGTATCCTGACTGACCCAACAGGTCTCTGCACTGCTGCCACAAGACATGCAGTCAGCAAAGTTTTTCCACTGATAAGAAGCACAGAAGCATTTTCCTGTGAAAAGATCAAAAGGCACACAAGCATCTTTCCGTTACCTGCATGTATAGAGATGCCGGTATGTGTTGTCATGTCATGCTCAGAGTGTTTTACTGTAGAGTTGCTCAGGATAGCGTGACAAAACATCATAACATTGAAGAAGCTGGTAATTTAACAGTTTGACATTGCCAGTCACAAACTATAAAAATTCTCCACACTGACTTTTAATACTGTAAATGACTCATGGAGAACCAAAACAGAGGCACGTACTACGTCAGTCCTTCTCTGTAGGAAGGACAGGAAGACGGAAATTTTGCAGATGCATTTCTGGGTAATGATCATTCCTGATAGTTAATAGGTATTACAAGTGAGACTGCATCAAATATGCCTCGATCTAAATTTGAAGTATTACACATGAAGTATATTCTTGGTTGTGCAACTTAAATGAAACTTAACTTAACTTAAGCTGACCTGATGATTTTTTGATCAATAACTCCAAAACAAACTGAGGCTTCACAACATATTGTTTCAGCAATAGTCACATGGAGTGCAATGTGAGGTAAGGGGAATTAACTGGAACACATCATGCTACAACTTATTTTGCTGTTTAAAAGAAAAAGGGAAAAACAGGCACCCTGTTGGCACACAACCCAACACGGCTACATTGTTTGACCTTTCAAATCAGCATCAAAAATGGATGAATGCCATCCAAAGCAAATAAAAATAACTATTTTGCCAGTGGTACACCACATGAAAAAGTTTCCAAACGTCTGCTTTCAGCTTTTTTAAAATGATTTTATACTTTCGATGCACACCCCTACATAAATCTTAATCAAGCCAATGCATCTAGAATGACTCACACTTTCCTACCAAGTAATTCAAGTCATGTGGTGAAAATTCCCGTCCACGTATCACAATATATATCGCAGTAAAAATAAAATATCACAATATTTTCCAATATCGTGCAGCCTCAATACAAACACACAGCCCTGACACCTCCGTACTTTATGGAGTTTATCTGTTTTATATGTTGCAAGCAATTAAACATCCAGCAACACCAGAGCAACATTATCAACCCACTGGAGTTGTGTTTCTAAATCAGATATTGTTTTAGCTCGACACAAACTTGTCAGACAAATGCCTTAAGCTCCTAGTCACTACCTAGCCAACTGTAAGTTTCTTCTTGTGCTACAAGTGTTACAGCAAAACCATTCATATAAACACCGTCCTCATACGCATGTGTGACATTTCCACTCGGCCAATATGAAGTCAGTTCCCTTCACTGATTGGTGTTGTTTCCTTTATCTGACCAGAGATGGAAAACATGACCAAAATCTTTTGTTGCTCCGTCGTATAAATCATGAAATCTCCTTACACTTAGGCTGAGCCAGGCATTATAATCACTCTAAATTACTTTTTATTATTATCATTATTATGTTTTGGGGCATTTCAAATCTTAATTGGGCTGCCAGGAGTAGAGAGATGATGAGAAATGATGGGGAGAGATGATGAATGACAACAGAGACACCAAGTGGAACACATCTTCAACCCTCAGGCCAGGCATACATAGGTAATTAGGCAGGGACGCAACAAACAATTGTTTTCATTAACAATTCATTTGTCTCCTGCTCCTAGATTAATTGTTTAGTCAATTAAATGTCAGAAAATAGTAAAAAAAAAAAAAAGAACAGCATTTTCCCAAAGGTCAGTCTGATGTCTTAATATGACTCAATCTGTCCAATCTACATATCTGAAAGGCAGCACTGGAGAATGTTTGACATTTTTTCCTGGAATCAGACTTGTTGCTTTTTCACCTCCAAATTATATTACAAATTAGTCACATTGTTTTCTTTGTAAACAAATATGCTGGAGTCGTGCCTTGCTGCTCTTTATTTTCTTTTGCTGAAAAGAAAAAAGAAAAAAAAGACATTTAAATTTACAATTTAAATTTAACCCCAGGCTCCAAAACAGGTGTCAGTGGACAGCAGAGCCGAGATCACCTGACTAAAGGGATACCCATCTGCAGGTGACTTAATAATTCAACAGGAGTTTTATTCGCAATCACAATATCAGTGCTCGCTGAGCCGTTTGTAGACTATCCCTCAGGCCTCAATAGTTATTAAAGACAGAAATTATATATTCATAACACAGGATATTGCTGCTTGTTTATTTATAGCTTGCTTCCATTTTTCAGTGGTATTTTGTCAGTTGACTTCCAAGCTATCTACCTTGCTTTGCCTCGAGCCATATATACCTCTCCCTCCGCACCGCCACCCCCAAAAAGAGGGGGGGAGAAAAAAACCTCAGGAATGGCTAAATTGAAAGTGCGCTTTTTCCATTATTTTCAGGTTCGACCACCGCCAAGCTATTTCCTCGTTTGCTTGTGCCCAGACTTTGCAATGAGGATGTCTCTTTCTTTCACGGCCTTACAGACGGCTTGTTTGGTTCAGCTGCTGTCAAGGGACTGCAGAGGATGCTAGAGAGAGCGCGGGTCCAACATTGTTCGCTGTAGTCAGGGGCTCCCAAGGACAAGATGATATTATCACACTCGGAGAGATGTGTGCTTGTGTGTGTGCCCATGTAAGCAACGGCAACTTTGTGTTTCCTATTATGCTTTTTAAATGAAAATATGTAAAAATGTGTTTTCAGTGAAGCAGCAAAGAACTGGTGCAAAATATATAAAAACGAATACAAATAAAGGAGGAGTCATGTGGTTTCCAAAAACGAGTGCAATTTTAGCTCTGTGATAAAATTTACTGTGCATCTCTGTCCTGTGCTTCTCTGCCTGTGTTCATCCCACTGCAACACGAGCGTCCTGCCGTACACGCAGTCAGTCAATCATCCCAAAATGTCGGCACCAATAAGCTGTGGCGGTAAGCCAACAACCAGAAACCCCAAAGAGCGACTTTCACACATTTAGCAAGAACCCCCACATCAGAGATATTCTATCCATTTCCCTTCCCAAAAAGCTGTTACCGCAGCACATTTGCTCCCACTTAGCACTCAACATTCACATCCAGACAGTGAAATCCTTGTTGTTCGGAGTGATTAACAGGAGGGAAAGGGAAAAAAAAGGAAAAAAACATTTCCTAAAATTGGCCGCCTTCCAAAATACATTTGTCTTCATTTGTCAAAGGTGAGCCACTCTGTTCTGCTGTGCAGGGAAGTCCGAAAGCAGCAAGTTGGCTCAGTATTGACGAGTCAATCAGCAAAGGTCAGCAGGTTTAGGGGAAGTGGGACACCTGAGCGGGACTTAATCTTCTTCGTCCTTTAAGTGAAGGATTTTGGATGAATAAGCAGGTGCTGGAAAGCTATTACCTACCCACCTCCCTGGGTTTGTCATCAGCCAAGGGCAGAAGGGCCTGGAGAAATGCCAGCTGCACCGACTAACACACACTCACAGACGTTTGCAGAAGAGGCAGAAGTTGGCACCTGCCATTTTGACTCACTGATAGGCATCTAATGTAACCTCCCTCTGCTCCTTTACCTCTCCTCTCCCACTCACTCCCTCCTCCCGGAGACACGAGCAAATCAAAGTAATGGGTGTACAGCTGCAGCCTGTGTCCTCTGCTGGATAGCTGACATAATTGTCCCCCCCTCTGCTGCTTAATGGAGACAGTGTGCACATCTGACATCCGCGCAAGTGCACCAATTCCCTAAGTGACATGACAGTGTTTACGACTCCGCGGGCTTCAAGAGTGTTGGAAGTTTCCAAATTTGTAGTCAATTGAACTGTAGTTTACAGATGATTGCACTGTGTCCTGTAACATCAATGAGATGTCTGAATTTATGAGGCTAGACAGAGAGCTCACATGTCTGAAATAGGGTTTAAAGCTGTGAGACAGTTCACGCCGCAGAAAGCTGTGGACTTTATAAATTGGTATAATCAATTTCAGGGATGTTGAAGGTGAAGCAGCAAGCCTCTCCAAGATTTAACAACGTCCCAAAAGGGAAACATGTAGCAACAGAAAAGCATGACGTGTGTTTGTTTAAACCATAATGTTCCAAGTGAAATGTGACAGCAGGAGGGATCTCATCAAGTGTCTCCATCACGGCTGCCAGTGACAGAGTTAATAAAAACATAAGCTCCACCGAAGCCGCTAGACAAATGTTCCACACGCACATTTTCTGTGGAGGTCGGGTCAAAATCAAAAGTCTGCCGACAGGGTTTGTTTTCCACTTGTCAGTCTAACCTCGGTGATGTCAGTTCAACCCCAGTGGACGCTGAAGAATAAACCAACACTGTAACTATCAGAAGTCCCAAGAATAACAGTAATTGATCGCACCATGAAAGAAGAAACAACAAGAGAATGAAGCATTTCATAATCTTTGGCAAACAACCTGTAAAAGTCAAATCCTCACATTTCCTAACAGCTGGGGCTTTGTCCACACTAATACAGATATTTTGCAAAACAAACATTTCCTCTGTGTTTGGGCATTTTAGGTCACTCAAACTGAAAGTGCAGATTTATGAAAAATCCAGTTTATGTCTGTTAATGTGGGCACGCCCATTGTTGCTTTTTGTGGTGAACATGCACCTGAAATACCAACAAAAATAGCAGATAATATGTACACTGGTTTCTTTATGTTTGGTTAACACTAGTTTTTACAGGTTTACAGCTTAACTTAGTGCTGCTGCTTCACAAGCATGCAAAAGCCTCTGCATTCACACTTTCAAGTCAGCAGAAATTATGCAATGACACAATGCTCTTTTATGTTATTTGACATATTGTGGATGTAGACTGGCCCACCATGTTTATTACACTGTTTGCAGTCAGTTTTGCATTCTCCTGTGTACAGAGATATTTTGCATAATGATGGTTGCGTGGACAGAATATTTTTTAAAACGGAGGAGAGAGATAGCCATATTGTTGTTAATGTTTGGAGATGAACTTGACTTTAGAAACAGTAGTGTCACACTTCAAACCACCCTCTTTCCATCAAACAGCTCAAACTTTAAGACATCTGTCATGCAACAAGGCTAAGAGAGTACAGCCACGTTAACTTCTCTGTGCCGACGGGGTTAGCAGCACGGCATCATGCTCCCAGTGACAACGATACCATGCTGAGTTCAAATCTGTACATCAGAGGGACCATAATGCCATTATCTCTCAAACTATATTGAACAGCACTCACACATTTTGCCACCATGGAAGTAATCTGAGCAGATTCTGGCTATCGGGTTTAATCAAATCTTGAAAATGGGCTTCAAAAAAAAAGATTCTGAAACTGGATTAGATCACATTATTTATTTATAGTTGGTTTTGATCTGCATCAAACCTTTGTTATGTGCTGTTTAATACTTTTTTATTATGCAATATATACATTTATTTAAAGTTTGCACTTGATTTGTTTAACTGCTACATTAATAAACTACATAAAGAAGCGTCAGTCTGTCTGCTGAGCACTAAAGCATTAAAAAAAGTATTGTGTCCTTATAAAATAATCCAGCCAAAAAAGTCCTATATTTGTATTTAACTGTTATTTATCACTGTGTATTAATTACAATGGCATGATAACGTCACTGCACTTCCTAAAAGCAGAGTCTCAAAACCCTCCACAAATAAAGAAGAGCTGTGAATGTTCGTCTGTTTTTTATGATTAAAACTGTTTAAAATATTCAAGATGTATTTGTGATGAAGGTAAATGTTTGTTTTGGGCCAGATGAGGGATCTGACTATATAAATGAAATTGAAAATGGATGGGGATGTTTGTATCATTTGTTGTGCTGTTTTCTCTCTCTCTCTCTCTTTTTTTAAAATTAAATAACTTCTAAATGGACCGTTCTACCTGTTGTTCCTTACATAGCGAGTAGTCTACATTGTGATGTGGTAATCTTAAATTTGTAGCTGTATCACTGTCATTAAATCCATTGTTAATTTGAAAAAGCAGCACAAAACCAAGATGGATTATATGATCCTATAGAGCAAAAGATGGGATTTCAAAATCTGGATCATTCGGATTCAGAGAAAACTCTTTGAACAACTGGGCCCAGTGAATCCCAAAGTTATCATAATTCATCCTGAAGGGGGGCCTAAATGTCTGAGCCAAATTTCATGGGAATCCACCCAATAGCTGTCAAAACATTTCACTGAGACCAAAAATTCCAACCTCACTGTGGCCCTGGAAGGAAAACTGGGGAGACACCAAAGTCATTACCATGAATGTCATCCAGTAGTTGTTGAGATTAATTAGTCTGGAAAAAAGCAGCGGACCAACTGGCAGACAGACAGAGGAACACAACCATCCCGAGAACAGGGATTTCTCTATAGTATTGTGATACAACAGACTTCAGCTCATTAGTAATATGATCTGCAACATGCATATTCTTTTGTTGCTATTATGGCGCATTAGCGATACGTTTACTGAAAAGTAATCGCTACAGCAACACTTTTATCTATCGTTTTTGATGCCCAAATGAAACACATTAAGACGTCTAACTTTTTGCTGAGCTGTTATTCTTTTTGACTTTTTAAATTCACGTATCATAGAATCAGGCCTGCTGACTCACCTGCAAGCAAACAACAATCTTACAGTACCTTTCTATGGTCCAAGCGCTCATCGGGCAAGAGGAAGAAAATGCTGGATAAATTAGCAATGTTGCCAAAGCAATATCTATAATTAGGACCCAGTGCCAGTGGAGAATGAACCCTGAGCTTGGCTCCTTCGCGCAAGCAATTAAGACCGAGACAGACAAATCACTGTGTCAGAGGTTTGATTGAAGACGGGGCCAAATGCACAGCTAAGGACGTTACGGCTTTCAAGCCGTGTACGTTTTACAGCGCTGACAAAATAGTTTTTGTCAGACACTTTTGTTTGTTTTACAGATTTAGCCATTTAGCATCACTTAACATACTCCAGTGGCAGATGTTTGCGATTAGGAGGCAAATTTATTTGGAATAGCGTATTATGCAAACATCAGTAGTCATGAGGCAGGAAATTAGGTGAGGGAAAGGGACGTTAAAAAGACATCCTCTGCTTTCAAAAAACATCTTTCTGGTCAAAAAAAGACAGCTGAGTCTTCCCCTTGCCAATAAAGTGCCCTAAAGGTGTTTCCTGAAAATCAATAGTGCTATTTAGTACAAACTTTGTTTGAATTTACTCCCACAGTTGGAGCCATTTGCAAAGACTATTGGGTAATTACTGTTGGATTTACAGCCTAATGTTAGATATTTAGACTTCTAGCAGGAACTTCTCAGGTATAAATACTAACACGAATAATTGTCACAGACCATTCTGACAGTGGAGACTTCAGCTGTGTTGAAATTGTTCGCTTGTTTCCTATACAGACTGTATCTACGTTGTACTTCATGTACTTTGCAAATTAACTATCAATGTATTGAAGATTAGCCTATAATAGCACAGTTACAGCTGCAGACCCCATGATGGATACAGTACAGCCAAAATATGTTGCAAATAAAGTAATGTGTGCACAGACCTGCGTTATAAAGGTTTATTTCAACATTGTGGAGCGTTACGTCAATTACATCGTTAATTATGTAGCAGCACTGCATCTGAGTCGTGTCCAAAATGCATCCTCAGATGTCTGCCAATGTCCCTCAGTGAGTCTTTTATGCAGCAAACACTGTAAAGTGGC